AGCGGAGTCCCTAATACATGCCTTGGATGCACATCTCTATGCCAGAAGCTTCACTAAGCCTCTCTTTGCAGTTGAGGCTTGTATTCCTCTAACGATTGATAAAGTCGATAACTGGTTCACTTTTTCGTTGATGAGTATTTGTAAGTTCTATCATACTCACAATACGTCTCGTGCTATAAAAGCGATTGAGGAACTCTTGCTCTAGTTGATCCCAACTATCAATAGATCTAACCTCGAGGTCTGTGTACAATCAAAAGCATTCTTTTTAGCGAGCGGACAAACTGCTTGACGAGGTAATCTCCATAATTCCCAGCATTGTTGCACGTCTCAATGAAGTGCGCCACATATTGCTTTGGATTACCTTTACCATCAAACTGTTGAAACTTTGGAGGTTGATAGCCAGCAAGCATCTTCAACATATTGACCCTGGCAGTGTATGGCTTTGCATATGTAAGGGAGGACTTGGCAGCAACTTCATACTTGTTCTTAATGGCTACTTCAATAAACTCCTTCAGTTGATCGATTGGAATCATCCCTTCAGATGAGACAGGGATAGCCTTAGCGGATGCTACTTGTCTTGGGGGAGAATCACTCTCTGAAACTTCGGGGAGCTTACCAGGTGCGTGGGTGGATTCTTCTTCCATCAAGATTCCCACCCTATATGTTAGCTTGTCGATTCTAGCATCTTGATTTTGTATGCACTTGGTCAAGCCAGTGATTTCTTCTGTCAAGTTTGTCAACTGCTCCTCTACAGATGAAGTGTTTGTCACCATGGCTTGTATGATTGTCGTGGATGATGGAGAGTAGCATGGATTGTCACACAGATTGATCCTCGATTGGCTCACGCTATGTGGTGTAAGTGGGGAGGATCCATCGCTTGAAGCATTATCATTTTCCTTCACAGTAGAGTGCTTGGATTCTGAGAGGTCAAGCAGAGCAAGAGTTTTCTTGATCTTTTCAGCAACATCGCTTCCTCCTTCGGGTGCGTTTGTGGAAGATCTTGCTCCTTTTGAGGATGAAGATCCGAAAACATGAGTTGATGCGGACGGCACATGGGGTGCCTATTGTCCTAACGAGCTTGCTTTACTCCTCGTAACTGGTCCAAAGCTTCCAAAAGTAACATCGAGGATGCTTTCCACATCAACATAGAACCTGGATTTAGCAGCCTTGGTGGAAGTCGAGCTGGAGTTGATTTTCCTTGAAGCTATTTCAATGTTCTTGAACTTAGGTGATTTGAAATGTTGAGATGAGAGATAGAGATTGTCCCACTGGGCGTGCCAGAATTTGTAGACAATAAATTGCGCCGAGAAAATAAAATCAAGACCGAAAGATATTGCAACAATCGTAGTATTTGATTTCAAGTAATATGAGTGTACAATCTCTATGAATCCTCTGATTCTTCTTTTCAATAGTAAATAAATTCAAGGGCCTTTGAGCTTGATCTTGAACCTATATTTGTTGTCACGAATGATGATCCTGAATTCAACTAGCACGAACTTTGATTTGAACTCGTACTCCTTGAATCTTGATTTGTTCTTCGTTCTTGAGCTTCAACTTGATTTGTTGAACTTGAACTTGATTGCTTGAGACTTGAAACTTATGGAGGAATTTGCAGTGTTTAATCCACGAGCTCTTTCTTGCTTCTTGTTATAACTTCTGGTATCTTTTCTGGGTTATAAAGACCCCTATTTATAGTTGTGAGAGGAAAGAGTTATGATAAGAACAAACTCTTTCCGACCAATAAAATTGAAGTGTGACAAGGTCGTATTTGATTGGCCAGAACATGTCACTTGCACATGTGGCACGATTTCATTGGTCTTTTAATGTGACTTGGCATGGCTTGTCATTTTGACACGTGGCATGATCCTATTGGATCTTCTATTTAACTTGGCGTGCCACGTCATTTGACACATGGCACCAAATTGGGCCTGTAAGAAGATGACATCTTGGGCCTACTGAATTGGGCTCATTACTTGTAGCCCAATTATATGGGCTAGCCCAATGGATTAAGACTTATTTATTTAACCCATATCAATTAGATATAGAATTGATCCAATTATATTAGCTCATAATATTTATTTGGACCAAAATATATTTAATTTAAAGTATAGTCCAAATTATTTTATTGAATTTAAATCCAATAAATTTTATATGCCTACAGGATGCTTCCGGTTCAATTAGTATAAATGTAAGATCATCCCATCATAATACAATTTGGGCAGGATAATCTCGCAAAGCCCCCTGCACCATCATTCTTTCGAATTTTCATTTTGATTCTTTTTTTTTGTTTTGGAAAGTCTTTTTGATAAAATCGGTTCAGAAAATAAAATAGATTTTAAAAGATTGATTGATCCAGAATATCATACACATTTTCTTCATTTACTTATTTAACAAATAAAATTAAATTGAGGATATCATAAATTGAAGACACCATCCTCAGATAAGGGCGAATGGCACAAATATGATATTTCTGTGCTACTATTATTTGTTTTGATCCAGATAATAGATGTTTTGGGGAAAAAAGCTTCTTGCCAAAATTTTAAACACCAGATTTCATAATGATTTGGGCAAGATTTTTAGGAAAAAAACAAAGTGTCAAAATTTTAAAGCACGCTCCTGACGATCGCTAGAATTTCATATTTTATTTGGGCAAGAATTTCCTTAACGTCAAGTTATGGTGATCGTAATGATTTCGCCATAAATTCTAACGGATCACTAGAATTTTTCAGTAATATAATTAAAAATTTTGGTGATTGTCAAAATTCCTCATACTATCGTCAGGACATAGGAGTATCCTTTAAAATTTTGGCACGAGGCTATTTTCTCAAAACTTATTTTAATGAGATCAAAATTGAAAAGAATGTTATTGAAAAAGTCCATCTAGTGTAATTTTCTGCGAGAATAACTCTTTTAGTTGTTAGTTGTGCCAACGGCCCAGCGACCTTATTACCTTCGGACTATGTTTACCTTTTCATGGGATGGACCAAAGAATAAACTAATATGAGTATCTTTTTTTATTCATAATTGACACAAAAGAGATTTTAGTATACGTAAATTAAAAAGCCTTGACTAATATAATTCTACTATGCGTGCAGATTCACAAGGAAGCAACGACTCTGAAGAATACAAGAAAGAAAAAAAATCAATCTAAAAATATCAAAGAGCCAACAACTATGATATTCAAATTTATTCATCAAAGGAATACCAGAAAGGAAATGGAATCAATCAAACAAGCAAGAGATTCTCAAGCATACCAGAAAGGAAAGGGAATCAATCAAACAAGAAAGAGATTCTCAAGCATACAAGGAAGGAAAGGAATTCAGTCAAGAGAAATCAACAGAAGTTTTAAGAGCAATTGATTGAAAAGTTGAAGGAGTCAAACTACATATTGAGAATGAATTTGGTTGTATTTCATATGTTGGATTCATGAGGCTACCTTTGGGTCCTACTCTTAGAAGATTCTGCCTCAAAAGGAAAAGTCGCACTATCAATGATCTTCCACAATCTCAGAAAAGAGGAATCAGAAACTCCATCAAGTACTATTAAAGAAGAGGAGGAAGGACGAAGAAGTTTACACAACTTAATACATATTTATATATCTTTCTAGTTCTTAGTAAAAACACTGTATTCTTGAGTTTACAAGTGTCACAATAGATTGGAAGAATTTGAAAACAAAATAAGAGTTGTGTCAAGTTTAGACAAACACTGTTGCTGAATATCGTTAGCGGTGAACGAACTAAAATCAAAACTGTTGTAACGACTCAATATTGAAAATCTAAGAGAACCCTTGTGACCCAAAAAAATTGGATGTAGGTACCACATCGGTACTGAACCAGTATAAAACTTCTATGTCTTTACTGTTTTTACTTCTGTAAAATTTACTTTTGTTGCGATCGAACCTGCTGGAAAAGTTTAGTCGACTAATTCCCTCTCTAGTCAACTAAGTTTTTAAACTGGTTATAATTCACCCACTCCCTCTTGTACTTTCAATTGGTATCATAGCAAAGACTCACAAGTATTGCCTAACAGCAAGTGAGGAAAAGATCATTGGGTCAAACACAGTCGTTGGACCACTATTCCAAGAAGGAACCTCTCAAGTAAGACTACTCTACTTCAATAGTTAGCACGTCTCACACTGAAAAGTGCGAATGAAAACCTACACTATATCATACGATATTAAAGTATGACGTGTGATCAAAAAGGAAAATCTTCTAATTCCACCAAGGAAGGATAAAGATGGTGAGATTATAGTATCATCTAATCCTCTCGACTTAGATGATTACACTGAAGAACAAGCAGTCGTTATTCAAGTGAATGCTAAGGCAAAGAATCTCATATACAATGCCATAAGTGAAGAAGAGTATGAGAAGATATCAAGCTGTGAAACTACGAAAGACATGTGGGACAAGTTAGAAGTCACATATGAAGGAACAAACAAAGCGAAAGACTAAGAGAACCCTTGTGACCCAAGGAAACTAGATGTAAGTACCACACCAGTATTGAACCAGTTGTGAGCACCTAATTTTTTACCATTTTTAGATTTTTATCACTTTTTAGTATGTAAATATTCTTTAAGTTTAATCTACACATTTTAACTTTTGTTTCACCTTTTTATATATTTCATTTTAAGAAAATTAAAAATGATAAAAAAAAAAAGGTCACATTTTTAGTATAAGTTTTATCTTCATTTACAAAGAAAAAAAGAAATTCAAAAAAAAAAAAAGATATAGTTATTCTTTAGTTTAGTGCAATTTTTAAGTTTAGAGACTTTCAACAAATATGTTGAGTATATAGTAATTTTACCTTATTTTTATTTATTTAGTATGAGTAGTATTTTATTTTAATATTTTTATTCATCTTTTGTTTAAACAAAAAAGAAAACAAAAAAATAATTAAGAATGAGAACCAATCACATGATGCCACCTAGCAAAGATTCCCTTATAACAAATTCACCTGCAATTAGTTAAGAGGATGGAAGATCACGTTTTTTGAGAAATTAGTCTCACACACACTACACGGTTGGATTCTTTTTACAAAAATCAACTGCACATTTTTCTTTCTCCCCAAGATACACACAGCACACACACCCGTCTCCCTCCTACTTACTCCCTCTCCTCGATCTCTCTTACTGTCTCTGATCTATATAAACACTCACCATACACAAAAGAAAGGGGATAAGCACAAAAGAAAGGAGGGCACTAAAAAATAAAATGAAAAGAAACTTAGAGCTCTAAAAAGAAAGGTGGGCATCAGCGCCTTCTTCTTCTTTCATCTGGAGAACAACTAATTTTTCTTCTCCCTCTCACATTTACACCTCAAACTAGCTCTAAATATCCCCAAATTCGTACAATAAACACAGCCATGTAAAAACCCAAAAGAAATTAGCCATTTTCACCACCAAAAGCCACCCCAAACTAGCCTCCTAAACCACCGAAATCACCTCAAAGCATCCCCAAAATCACAGTAATAACCATCCACTTTTCCCACCCAAAATCAACACTCAAACCCAGCTGAAATTCAGCTCAAAAACAGCAGCGAAAAACATTACCAAACAGTCCCAAAATTTGCTCTAAAACCCAGCAAAAAGCAGCTCTGTTTTCCAGCCGAAACTCAGCAAAATCAGCCATGAATCACCTTTAAAATCCATCCCAAACCCAGCCGTAAACTCATTCCAAAATTCCCCCAAAATAGCTAAAGCTTCTGAGTCAAGTCGAGGTTCTCTTTGGTTCGAAGTCGAGGTTGTTAGTCGAAGTTCCGGTCAAAAGTTTTGTCTTCAATTCAGAGCAACTGTACTGTCGAATTATTCACTTGGAGTTTTATTTGATAAATCAAATACAGAAGAAAATCATTGAGGTTCATCTTTTACTTTTCATCTATTAATTCGATATTTTCACCATAGCATGCCCTGTTTTCATCTTCAAGCATGTTCCTGCCTTGATTCGCTGATCGTGTGCTTAAATGTTGGTTCATATTGATTTGCTGGTATTTATTAGAATTTCATTTTTGTTTGTTTCTTTTTGTCTTGTTGAAATAGCTCGTTAGCTTTCGTTTGATTTCATGATTAGTTTGGAAGAGTGGAGAATCTGTTTTGATGATAAAACCATGATAAAATATAATTAATAAATTTGTTGAAAGAATCTGCATATATTAGATTGTACCAGTGAAGTTTTGAGAACATCTGTTAGGGTAGTGAGCCATCCGCTAGTTAGGAAATTAGGCCATTTGATTCAAATGTGAAAATCAGTAATTGAGCCGTTTTCTTTTACTAGTGGGCCTTAAGGCAAACGAACTTTCATTGCGTCAATTGGTTTAGCTGTACACTCAGTATTAAAAATGTATATGTGTTTCGAATACACTAATTCTTAAATCAAAGAACTAAAATACTTCACAGATTAGTTTAGTAAATTACTAATGTACATACTTCTCCAAATGATTCCATAAATCATGAACCATACAATAATCTCAAAGTAGTTTAGGAAAATAATTCATGAACAATCGTAGTTTACTTTAGGCGCGATTAATAAATCGTCGTGACTATGGGTACGGTTCCCGTGGCATGATCACGATATGTAAATCCCAACTCAAGTGCGCGTTTCACATGACTTGACCACAACTTCAAATAATAATAATAATAAACATGTTGTAAATCGCGGGTGCGTTTCACGTGGCGCAGTTTGCAATGTGAACCAAAACGACAAGTGCACGATATCGTAACTTGTTTAAGAAATAACTCCATAAATACTAAAAAGCATTTAAATACATAATTAAAAGCGGTCAAAGGTAAAATGCACAATAGGTTTAAAAATATAATAATTTAGATGATTAAGCCAAGTATTAATTATTAAGCGACCGTGCTAAAATCACAAAACTTGGGAGTGCCTCACACCTTCTCCCGGGTTAACAAAATTTATTGTCCAGTCTTCTGTGTTCGCGGACCATAAATAGAGTCAATTTCCTTAATTTGGGATTTTAAAATAAACGGATCACTTGGGACACCATAATAATTATTTCAAGCGGCGACTCTGATTAAATAAATAATTATTTCGTTGAACTTTCCTTCAATTTGCATTGTTGCAGCATATATACTAGAAATCATGCCTATAGGATTTGGATCACTTCATTTGCTACTGTATCGCACTGTTCACTAACCATGCTTATAGGACTAAGTATAATAATAAAATAAGTCCCAAGCGTCAACTGTTAGAGATCCTCCCTATAGGGTATAATTACTCGTTCTATATTAATGATGGACCTATAAAAACTGTTTACTTCTTGTTTATTCCATTGTCATCAAGCATAAGTAATTTTGGGCTCCTCCCAATGGTCTTCATTACTCCTTATTGCGTAAGTCACCTAGACACAACAAGGTTAATAACTGAAAACCTGTAATCTCAATAATCAGCATGTATAATCTTGTCTATGAGCAATGCCTGGCCTCTGAAACTGCTTGTGTTCTTTGATGTCTTGTCACATAGAAATCATGTCTATAGGGCTTAAAGTTCTTAATTCGGAATTGCCTAACATAAAAATTTATCTTGCGTGCATTTGTTGCTTAAGTGTGGAGGCAAACTTGAGCCCTTAATTGTCCATACTTGAAGTCCAATATGTTTATGTATGTCGCCTAGTTTTGACATTTCTAAGCAGCCTAAGTAAGGTCTAGAACCACCCAAATAGAGGTCCAATACCTCTTGGGCCATAGGTATGGGATGGGTAGTGCACGCATAGGGTACGAGTGAGAATTGAATTAGAGCGCTTTTAGGTAAACAACTTTAACATAGTAATCGGGTAGCAGAAGATGATAGTCTGTGCCCGCTGAATAATATGAGTACCTGCCTATCTTAAGGGAGTTGTGAAGTATTATTTATGTTGCACGGGGTGATCCTTTAGGCTAAAACACTTAGTACCCCCCCTCCCCCCTCTTTATATGTTGTTATTAGATCTAATTAGTTGTATCCATATATTCGCATTAAGATCTGTATTAATCATGTTGTAATAAAGTTCTTTGACTTCTGAATTCCCTTTGTTTATTTGATCACCTAACTTAATCGTAATCCACATAATCTTAAGTTCGGACGGGACCCACAGTTGTGGACCTCGAAGAGTACCTAACACCTTCTCTTTGAGGTAACTTGATCCCTTACCCGATCTTTGGTGGCGTTGACTAGTCAAACAGAGTTATCTGCATAATAGGTGCCGTAACGCACCTTAAAAATCGTTAGGTGGCGACTCTTCTCCTTTAGCACTCTATCTCCCATTCTAAAAGGAGTTATCACGTGTCGAAGCCCACTTTCGCGAGAAAAATAGGGTCGCAACAGCATGGCGACTCTGCTGGGGATTTACTCTTAGGCTCTTACCATAATGAACTTGGCTTATGTGGATTAGTTTTCTTTGTTATAAAACACACATTCCTTTTCCATCTTTATTTGTTAGATTTGCTGTTGCATGCACATCCCTTTTCCCGTTCACCTTTACTTGTTTAAAATTGTTATAACATGCACATCCCTTCCCTCCTCCACCTTTATTTGCTTAAATTTGTTATAACATGCACATCTCTTTCCCTATTCGCCCTTAGTTGCTCTAACTGCTATTTATTAGCTATATCATGTCTCTCCCACCCCTACTCCCTTGGTTACTTTATTATATTTCCTATATTCCACGAACTAACTTTTTCTTTTTGTCTTTCTTTTTACGTCCTTTATGTTTTATCTTAATACTGCGTTTATTGCTTTCACATATTTATCATGAAAATACTTGACAACGTGTTATTATTGCTTCATAAAGCATGCTCCATATCATATTCCACTCGTGCCCAACTAATACCATAGCGGCACTTGATGAGTGTCCGCACTCTTCCAAAATTACCCTTTAAATTAGAAAGGCTTATTTGCGGTAAACTAGTCGATCAGCGGTGCAGTCGACGGTTCCGTGCTTTTCCCTCTCAAGTTGTCCACTTGAGAGTGCCAGTCTAGACCCTTCTAGAAACCTCGCTTCAATATCAACTGTGCATGCATCATGTCAAACCAAGTATGGGTTAGAACGTTATCCGCGTGACAATCTACTAAGATAAGCCTTGTCCAAAGCCCGACGGGATTTCCATAATCCCAATGGACACCATCACGTTATGTGCATTACTTGGAGAAAACATGCTGGTATGTTGATCATTAATGTGTAAATAGTCAGACCCGGAGGGGGAAGGGCTAACTCTATTTGTTTTGCAGAAAATGAGGTACGAAGTCTCCAAGTTCGGCATGGTTCAAAACATCCCACCTTTGCTGCTTGATTGGTGGAAGAACCTCTCACATAGTGACAAGAATCATGTGAAAAGGGTCCTCGGAAATTTACCTTCCTTATTGGACATTCGGCCAAATAACACATTGATTGAGGTCGCCACTATGTTTTGGGATGAGAAAAGAGTTGTCTTTCGCTTTGGTGATGTAGAAATGACTCCTCTCTTAGAGGAAATAGGAGGCTTCGCTAGGCTGCCATGGGATAGTCCGGGTTTATCAGTACCAGAAAATCGCACTCCCCCCAGATTTTTGAAAATGACGGGTTTCAAGAAAAATGATGAGTTACTCTGTCTGAAGAAGTCATACATACCATTTGAATTCCTTTATGAATGTTATGGGCATAGCAAGTCATATCGCCTTCACCATGATGAACTTGTCGTTACTTTTTTGGGTTGGACACACCGCCGAGTTTTTGTGTTCATTATCTGTTTCTTAGGGTTGCTGATATTTCCAAAGAAAAGGGGGAAGATCCACACTCGCTTAGCCATGGTTGCTAAGACTCCAATGGAAGGAATTGAGGGACAAACTTACACTATCATCCCCATGATCTTGGCCGAAATGTACCGAGCTCTAGATCGATGCAAGCAGGGATATGGGCACTTCGGGGGCTGTAATTTGTTGCTGCAGGTTTGGTTATTAGAATATTTTCAGAGAGGTGAATATCAGCAGGAGCTTCTGCGACGACCATTGAATGACTACATAGCCTACCATCATCCAAAAAGAATGACATTTATCCCAGATAGGTTCGTGCAACCTGGAAGTGCTGTGAGCTGGGTGCGTTTCTTCAGCAATTTGACTGACGAAAAGGTACATTGGATATTCGAATGGTTCCCTAGCAGCGAGTTCATCATCTGGTCAAGAGAAATAACTTATTTAATGCTGACCGGGTTAAGAGGAATCTATCCTTATGCTCCAATAAGGGTTATGAGGCAAGCGGGAAGAAAGCAGGTTATACCTCGATTTTCTAACATGGTCTAGTATAAAGTAGACTTAAAGGGAACATCATTCCGTTCAAGTTCGAGGCACAACATATGTGGAATCAAAAGGTCATTGTAGAGAAAGACACTATCGAGCCAGACAGGTACTATGCCGGCCATGTATACTTCTGCCCATCATGGTTGGTAGATGAAATAGAGGGAGATGCCAAGCCAGGGATTAATCTGAAAAATAGGATTATAGATGACGTTGCTGAAGCACAAGTCAAGTGTAGGATGCTACGCTAGAGGGTTTTTGAGTCTGAAGCTAGGCATTTGGAATAGCACAAAGTGGATATAGAAGTAATCAACGAATGGAAAGAAATTGCTACTAAATCAACAGAAAGATTGGAATATTTGGAGCAAGGGTTAATGGAACTTGAGTGGAGGATGAGGAAGAGGCTCTCAGATTGTCAGAATACGGAAGGCAATGAGGGAGGGCATCTAGCAAGGGCTTACCTATTATTGGACATGCGCGACCTGGGGAACTTGATTGATGGATCCAAGAAGGCCAAGCATGGAGAAGGTCCCTCTGGGGCCAAGCAGATTAGGAAATGATGTTCTTTACTACTTTTTAGCTTAGTTTTAGATTTCGATTGTAATAAGGCAAATGCCATTAGTAATTTTTCTTATTATTGCCGTTTTAGTAAGGATCTAATTCATTTTCGCATTAATGAAATGATACAATTATTGGCATCAATTTTCTCTAAGTCTATGTGTCGCTTAGGTCTACCTCGGGCACAACGAGGTCCCCCAAATTAAGACGCGAGTCTATTACATGATTTTGCAAAGCATGTTCAATATTGCAAGCATTCTTTCAATATTCCTTACTGACTTGGTTACCTTTTATTTTTTTTTCTTTTGATTATTCCCATTCCCCAAGGTTGGTTCGTGCATACTGGCATCGTCAGCATATCAAACCAGATCCAAAGGTCCTCCACCTCCTCCTCCACCAAGTGATCCTGGCAAAAGCAAAGGGAAAGGAAAAATGGACGATTTAAGCGATATCAGAAAAGACAATGCAGAAAACATTGAAACTTCGGACGGTTGGAATACTCCAGTACATAATGAATTGGTCCTACGTCTGGAACAGAAAATATTGGAGCTACAAGGGGAACTTGAGCAGGTCCGGAACTTAGCAAACCTTTCCCTTAACCTAAAAGTCCCCGACATTAACCAACAAAACACAAACGCCCAAAACCCGGTACCTCCCCAAAACACCCAAAGTCAAAATCCGCAAAATCCTCCCGCACCACATCAATACGCCACACCTCCTTAGAAACACAACCCTCCACCAGTACCTACTCCTCAACAACACCATCACCACCCAACTCAATACCCATAAACAACCACATACCACACCTCTCAGAATGCACCACAGCCTACTCCTGACCCGCAAAACTAAACCAATGACCACCATTATGCCCAGATTCCTGGAGTCCACCAAAGTAATCCCATATATGTGGAAACTTTACCCTACACCCCACAACAGACCCTGTACATACCTGAATCTGTTGAGAAGGACCTGCTCATCAAGAACATGGCGGAAGAACTCAAGAAACTTACTGGAAGAGTTCAAATTGTCGAAGGGGGCAAATGCATTGAGAGTTTGAATTATGAAGATTTTTGTATTCAACCAGATATAGAACTGTCAGAAGGTTACAAACCTCCTAAGTTCGAAATGTTCGACGGGACTGGTGATCTGAAGGTGCACTTGAGAACGTATTGTGACAAGCTTGTGGGAGTTGGTAAGGATGAAAGAATCCGCATAAAGCTGTTCATGAGGAGCCTCACCGGACATGCCCTCTCTTGGTACATCAGTCAGAACCCAAAGAAATGGGTTAATTGGGTGAGCATGGCATCAGATTTCATGGATCGGTTCAGGTTTAACACAGAAAATGCATCAGATGTTTTCTACATTCAGAATCTCAAGAAGAAGCCAACGGAAACTTTTCGCGAGTATGCTACTCGGTGGAGGTCTGAAGCTGCAAAACTAAGGCCAACACTGGAAGAAGAACATATGAATAAGTTCTTTGTCAGAACTCAGGATCCGCAATACTACAAAAGACTGAGGGTTATTGAAAACCATAAATTTTCTGACATCATCAAATTGGGATAAAGAATAGAAGAAGGGATCAAAAGCGGTATGGTGACAAATTTTGAAGCACTCCAAGCCACAAATAAAGCCTTACAGTCAGGAGGTATCTCCAAGAAGAAAGAAGTAGGTGCGGTGATGGTAGCCCAAGGTCGAAAGTCTCATCTTACATACCAAACACCCCCCACCCATATATCAGCCTTCACCTCCCAGATACCAACAACCTGCTGCCACTTACCATACTTATAACACCCAACCAGCATACTACCACTCACCACCAGCATGCCAAAACTACCAAAAACCTAGACCAAATTTCGACCGCAGACCACCCAAACAATACACCCCAATTGCTGAACCCACAGACCAACTGTACGAGAGACTGAAGGCTGCTGGTTATGTCACTCCCATTCCCGCTGTTGCTATGGAAAACTCCTCCTAGTAGATTAATCCAAATAAGACATGTGCCTATCACTCAGGCATGAAGGGTCATACTATTGATGAGTATCGTACTTTAAAGGATAAGATTCAGACATTAATTGACACCAATGTCATACAAGCAAAGGAGGCTGCACCCAATGTCTGTAACAATCCTCTCCCGGATCACAGGGGTGAAGGGGTAAACGTGATAGAGACCGATGAAGAATGGGACTCAGAGGGGTCAATTGGACTCATTCGAGAAGGGGATAACCCTGAAACATCTCCAGTCACTCTCACACCTATTATGGTACAAACGTAGGCACCGATTGAAGTTGAGGTAGCCGCACCAACTCCATTTGAGGTTGAGGTAACAACACCCTTCACCGTGATGGTGGCACCCACGCCATCTTTTTAAGTCTAATGCTATACCTTGGGATTATGTTGCAGAAGCAAGAAGGAAAGGAAAGGCAAAAATGGAAGAAACAGGTGTAGTGCAAGGCATGACAAGAACTGGTAGGATTTATACACCCGAGCATTTGGGAGGAACAACAAAAAAAACCACCTTTAAGCCGCATGTCATTGAGACTAGCCCAGATGATCTTTGGAGAAAGGTGCAGGCGAGAGAGTATTTTGTGGTTGATCATCTGAACAACACCCCTGCTCAAATATCCATTTTATCACTGCTATAAAACTCTGAGGCACATAGGAATGCCTTGATGAAGGTGTTGAATGAAGCTTATATACCAAATAACATCACCAGTGGAGAGATGGCCAACATGGTAGGGCAAGTGTTAGAAAGCCACAAGATCACTTTTCATGAAAACGAGCTGCCACCGGAAGGACTAAGTCATAACAGGGCACTACATATCACCGTGCAGTTTGAGGACAAATTCATTGCCAGGGTCCTAATAGATGGGGGTTCGAGTCTCAACATCTGTCCACCAACTACTTTGAAAAGGTTGGGTAAAGGTCTGCACGAGACACGAGCAGGGAGTATGAATGTGAAAGCATTTGATGGGTCTCAAAGGGCCACAATTGGGGAGACCAACCTCAGCCTACAGATAGGCCCGACCTGGTTCGATGTTGAGTTTCAAGTATTGGATATATCTGCTACATATATTCTGTTGTTGGGGCGACCGTGGATACATGTCACTGGGGCCGTGGATTCTACACTACATCATGCCGTGAAGTTTAAGTGGAACCATCAGGAAGTGATCATCCATAGGGAACGAAAGTAATCCCATTTACACCAATCAAACTTTTCCGGTCGTCGAGAATAGAAGGAAGTTGGGTGGGGAAATATACCATCACGTCGAGCGCATCAACGCAATTGAAAAAGACAAATGGTGGAGCAGTAAGATAGAAGGTATAGTGGCATGGACAAGGTATGAACCTATCAAGGGTCTCGGTAAGAATCTCCAGGGGATCACCAAACCGATACATCTAAAGCGTCACGACACAACCTTTGGGCTTGGGTATGAATACACCTGGCACGAGTATCAGAATTGGTCACCACTGTGGCGTGGTCCTTATTACCCTCTAGAGAAGCCAGTACCATATTTGAGCCAGTCGTTTCATCAAGCTGACATGATGTGGGGGTCTGAAGAAGATGAAACTTTAGCTGGCATAAGGAAGCTATTTCTGGATGACAAAGACATGGAATGCAGTGTGATAGTTGAGGAGGAGGAGGAGGAGGAGGAGGAGGAGGAGGAAGATCTTATTATTCAGACAATGGAGAAGGGAGCTATTCCCAAGAATTGGACTGCTGCGCCATCAAGGGCCCGTCGAGTTCCTGGGTAGCCTGGCAATTAGCATCATTTATTTTTAAAAGCAATTTTATGGGCATTTAAGACATTTTTAGTATTTTGTTTTTTTTTTAACATTTTTATTTTGAAATAATTGCTCGAATCATTGAACTACATTTGTTTGACGTTTTTAAATATTTATCGATGGATTGTTGTTTTAGTATTTATTATTATCCTTTACATTTTCTCTCTACAACATTATTATTACTTATCCTGATGAACCTACGACTGTAACATGTAACAAGACAGCGCAACATTAGGATAGTGATTCAGAGGATCTGGATGAGGATATAATACACGAGGAAATTGTCAGAGAAGTGGAAAATTTTGAAAACAAGCCTAAGTCCAATTTGGATGAGACTGAAACCGTTAATTTGGAAGACTCCGAAACAGTCAAGGAAACTCGTGTAAGCATTCACCTATCGTCATCAGAGAAAGAAGAATATATCCAGTTCTTGAAGGAGTATGAGGATATTTTTGCATGGTCTTTTGTTGATATGACCGGTTTGAGCACGTCCATAATGTCCCATAAACTACCTACCAACCCTATATGTCCGCCTGTAAAGCAGAAGCTCAGAAAGTTCAAACCAGATATGAGTCTGAAAATAAAGGAGGAAGTCACCAAGCAGATCAAAGACAAGGTTCTCAGAGTGGTTGAATATCCGACCTGGTTGGCTAACATTGTGTCGGTTCTAAAGAAAGATGGGAAGGTCAGAGTGTGTGTCGACTATCGGGATTTAAACAGAGCGTGTCCCAAAGATGATTTCCCTTTGCCCAATATACACATACTGATTGACAACTGTGCCAAGCATGAACTTCAATCCTTTGTGGATTGCTTCGCGGGATATCATCAGATCTGGATGGATGAAGAGGATGCCGAAAAGACAACCTTCATTACACCATGGGGAGTATATTGTTACAAAATGATGTCGTTTGGCCTAAAGAATGCTGAAGCCACTTACATGAGGGACATGATAACCATTTTCCACGACATGATACACAAGGAGATAGAGGTGTACGTGAATGACGTCATCATCAAATCCAAGAGAAGCACAGATCATATAGCAGATTTGAGGAAATTCTTTGATCGACTTCGAAGGTACAACCTGAAACTTAATCCCGCAAAATGTGCTTTCGGGGTCCCTACTGGAAAGTTGTTAAGGTTCATCGTCAGCCGTCGAGGAATTAAGCTAGACCCGTCAAAGGTCAAAGTTATCCAAGATTTGCCACCTCCGAAGAACAAGAAAGATGTGATGAGTTTCTTAAGGCGTCTCAATTACATCAGTCGTTTCATAGCATAATCAACTGTGATGTGTGAATCGATTTTCAAAATGTTGAAGAAAGACGCTGTAACAAGTTGGACTGAAGAGTGCCAGAAAGCCT